GTGCATTAGAACGCAGGCTTCTCAGCAGTGACGCCCTGATTAAATGCATGCCTCAGACAGTCAGTCATAATAAGTGTTTTAGCTTCAAAACTTGATCGGAAAAACTTACATATATTTCTCATTCATTGAGCCATTGGGGTATAATGCATCATGAATGTATTCATCCCGGCGGCATTTATGCATTTATATAATTCTGTTGTACAGAGCCACAAGCAACTGGGAATCAATACACACTTCAGCCTGCATAATGGGGGATGTAGAAGGCATAAGATATGCACATACCAAACACTATAAAATGCGCCTTGACAGAAAATGCTTCAAGAAAGTGCCGAGAACAAAAAGAAACTAGCGGCTCGAGGATGAGTAATGGGATGAAGGTGAGCATATGTAACGCCACAAATGTCTCTCAAGAAACAGATAATTCTTCTCGTGCTGCTGGATTAAAGATGCAAAAGAATAAGATACTGACCTAACGCTGACCTCCCCGTGTTTTCAAAAACTCCACGGCCGGAGAGCCGAGTCGGCTCGGTAAACTGACCTGCATAAAGTCCCATTTGTTAGGCAATTATCTTTATTCTACCAAGCAGAAATGACTTGTGCTGAACGGTAAGGTGTGCTGGTGCGAAACTCATAATGCCACGCAGACGCTATAATTAGGGAAAGCTTTACAGGGTGAGGAACGGGATCCTGGCCGACCTACGGGGGAAAAAAAATCTGACAGCCAAAAGCAATTTGCAGGCGACCTCCAATTTTCTGGAATTATCCTTTGATTTTAACGATGTAAACAAACAGTGTCTTCAAACGACTTGGACTTGGGTTGCAGTAGAAGAGCAAATGAAATGATCGGCCAGTTCCAGGAATCTCAAAGCAAGAAATCCTACTGTGCCTAGCTGCTGTTAAGAAAGTTGTTTATGTGCTAGGTTTGCTTTAATAAAAGTTTATAGCATCTTGCACAATCCTTGGAAAGCCACTACAGCTGGCCGTGTTTAACTTTTCAAGGCTACCTCAATCAGACTCGATGCAGAAGCTGTTCGAGCGACTGCTGAAAGTAAAACGTGTCGTGACTTTTGGATGCGTGACCCGTTGCCCACGTGCACGTTCGAGCATTTACAGTAGCTGTGTGCAAAACATTACCGAGTTCTAAATCACCACCTTTGAGTTGTGGGCTAAAAAAAAATCAATCCGGTGCACTGGCGAGCCCACGTCTCGTGTGGAGCCCTGACCTCTCGGTCACCTTGCTGCAGTAAAATATGAATCGAGGATCGAGCGTGTGGGCACCCAGATGCCGACAGCGCCGACGGGTCAGTTATGTGGGAGGCAGATCACGTGACCGCTACAGAGGCCAGGGCACAAATGATGGACGTCGGTTTATCTGTGCTTTGTGTGTGCGCACGTACCGGCAGAAAGTCTGGGGCGGGTCCTCGGCGTCTGCATCTCTTGCCGTGCGTGAGGCAGCATGTGGTAACGCTTGGCTTCGTTCACCAGATCGCGACACGCCTCTGAAGATTTGATCAGCTCCTCGTTGTCCACTACGTTCAGCAGATAGGACGGGTGGATGAAGGGAAGACGCACCACCGCTAACAGCTCTGACAGATGCTGATAAGAGAGACATAAAGGGAGGGAAAGGAACAGAGAGTCATTACTTGTTCAAGGTTGCAGTTAGTGAGTGCTGCTTAAATAACCTGAAAGAGATCTAAATAAAGAAACAGAGTGGGTTGTCCACCAATTAGAAGGACGGCAGTTTGATCACAGTCACCTCGATGACTGCGTTTGAAAATATCCTTAAGCAAGAGCTTCCCTGATAGATCCATGTGTGACTGTGTGAACGTTCTTTTAGGTTCTTTTTCCCCTTTTTTTTTGGTTTGGTGGCTTGTTTAAAAATTTTCAAATTGCCTGTAAGTTGTGTTATTGTTAATAAAGTTCCAATTTACCGAACACTAACAGTGTTTGAATTCATTTAGTTGAAGTGATCAAAGAACAGTGTTCTTGCTGTATAGCCAACATTTGTGTTTCTTGCTGGGAAAAGAAACCACGGTGTTTGATAAAAGCCGGGACCGTTAGCGTGAGGAAACCTGGCAGTAGCGAGACCATTAGCTCTGTAACTGTCAGTGTCAAAACGTGAAAGATGTAGTGAAACCCTGCACGCTTTTTCTAAAATTTCTACTCTCATATCGGACAAAAATGCTAAAACGTGTAGAGAAAAATAAGAAAATGTCTAAGTAAGACCTCACAGATTGAAGTGACTGAATTTCCCCAGTAATTTTCCAAAAAAGCAACTAAAAGGAACTCTGGAGACTTGTTTTGAACTGCGTCACTGAAAGTTTACAGTAAGATCCGAACCTCATCTCACTTTCATACGTGCATTCGGCTACGATGACACAGCTGACACTGTCGGCGGGGGGCGGCGGTGGGGTGGGAATCTTAATTCCACCCTCAGCGCTTCTGATTTTGTCACGGCGGGGTGCGCCGGTGTGAGGAAAGAGGTAGACCCAGATGCAGACACGGTGGAGACAAAACGTAGTTTCAAAAATAAAGCGAGCCTTTATTGGCTGATTGCAGAAGAAAAAACAAGGAACTAGGGAAACTAAGGAGGCTATGAACACTGTGTTAACAAAAAGGCTGTGACACTCAGTGAAAAACTATGACAAACTGAACACTGAGTAAACTAGAAAACACAGAGAAACAATGGAGTAAACCTATGAAAACTGTGGTGAGGTTAACAGACGATCTGACACTGAGTGGAACACACAGACTAAATACACATAAGGAATGAGCAAAGGAAGTAGAATTACATGGGGAAAACAGCTGACAACAATTAACATAATGACAGGACACGTGAAACTAAACATAATAAACACAAAACTCTTTCAAAATAAAACAGGAAACATAAGGAAATCCAGACATGACTTGAACTTGACAAACAAAGAAAACTTGAAACATGAAACATGGCAGAATGTAACTAGATAAACCGAAATTAAACTAGACTAAAAAGAATAAAACACCAAGAAACTCAGAATACCCAGGGTCATGACAGATTCCCCCTCCCCACCACCCCCATCTTCAAATAAAATCTTTCATGAGACAGCTAATGCTCTTTTGCAGCTAAATTAAGACCCAGTTCTGGCTAATCACAGCCCATTCAAGCCAAGATGCTGCAGTGCCACCAGCAAGATATTTCAAATTTTTTTGTAACATAAAAATGGCACCATCAATTTCCCGCGGTGTCGAGCTGGTTAATGACAACTCGGCTTTGAAGGTAAAGGAGGGAGGGAATCTTTTTACTATAGGAACTTTAGCATATTTGTGTTTGTTTCATCTCTGGGCGTGCATGCATTTATGCTTATACTGTATAGGTGTTCAGCTCAGAGGTAGGACAGGCTGTTGCTATAGCAACCATGTCTATAGCTCTGGCTGCTGAGTGAATTTTTTTTTTTTTGCCTCCCCTCCAGTCAGTGTGTACATGTGTACGTGTGTCCCCCCCTCACACCTCACCGCCGACCCCACGGGAGCCTCGTCTACGCTGACGGTAAAAAGCTGTAAACAAGCTCGGACGGAGCGACAGAGAGTTGGGTGGAGGCTGACCCCATTGACCCTTTGGCTCAGAGCGGCGCACGCGAGCCACGCGGGGAGGGCGACAGAACAACGGGCTGAGAGAGGCATCATTCAGCAGAGTATAAATAATAAGCAGACACTGCCTAAGCATATCTCCCTTTCTCTCTCTCTCCCCTCCACCTGAGGCCTTTTAAGTCTGGCATGTGTCCCATCTGCTCTCCAGCGATGTCCTGAGCTCATCTGACCAGAAAGAAGTAAATAAGATGTCAGACTGCGGGACAAAAAGACGGAGAGACAAGCGCGAGAGGAAGTAGATAGGGCATGGGAAGTGGGGGTGGGAAGACAAGTGATGACACAACGGGAGGAAAAAAGGAGGCAAGGAGGCAAGGCAGAAAAGGATAAAAGTACGTCGAACGATCTGAAGAAAGACAAGGTGGGAGAGACGAAGTGATGGTTTTATGGCAGCCAGAGAAATCTGCTGATGACATTTCCTCTCTGTGAGCACGCTCGGAGCAAAACGCTGTCCTGCGTTTGGGACTGTCTGTTTCCCTCATCTATGAATTTCCACAGTGCAGTTTATCAAACAAACAGCTCAGTTCCTACATAAACACTTGCAATCGCTCCGAGCACCTCAGCTCAAACACAGAGGAGGTGAAGTCAGAGCAAGCTCCTTAGCATTCTGCAATATTCTTAAGGGAAGACTTCTTTACTCAAGAGAAGCTACTACTTCCAATTAAAGTGCCCCCATAGTGGGAGATTTGCCCCAGTAGTTACTGAGTCATGTCACACTCAAATGGAGGACTTAAGCTTCAGGCTTACTGCTATGGACTTCCATTACAAGGTACTTTACTCCAAGTCTGCTTCAACCTACACCTCTTCGGACATCCTATCAAGTTATTAATACCTGTAATCGGCTGTGGCGAAATGTTAAAAGGCCATATTTAATAGTAATTTTTCATTAAGATAAATATCTTTAAAAACACAACAGTCTGAGGAAGGAAATATTGAATTTTGTTGTGTTTAAAATTCATGTGGCTCGTGAAATCTTGCACAGAAATCTGCAGGTTATCAGAAATAGGTCCTCTACTGACTCTTCTGGCCCTCAGAACTAAATTAAAGCTGTATATGGGGCAGTTTCAGCCAGGTGGTGCCCTTAAGGGCACTACAGAAATAAATGTGCTCGATTGCCTGTGCGCACATCTGGAAGCCTTGCTCTTATTTGGAACGGCAGGTGGACTGGCTCGCAGTCCGACATCACACAGCTCAGTTGAGCTGGAAACTCTAAAAATGCCTGTGACCGGTTGGGAAGGTTACTTTTGAAATATAAGCCATTTAATTAACACATCAAAGCAAGCACCTAATTAAAACTTCCTAAAAGTAAAAAATAAAAAAATTAAATTGAGTGATAATGAAGCAAAGACCTCAGGGTCTAGCTAGTTCTTCACATCTAATATCCAGCATGGTTTTGATGGTGACCGCTGATAAACAAGCTTTACTTTTTACTGTAATATTAGAACCGCTTTCAAATTTTATGAGGGAAAATATTGGTAAATTTCCAGCACCGAAGACGATCTTGTCTGGGGAAATGGCCACCCGTCTCAGCCTGCAACGATCTGATTGGCAGATAAACTGTTCTTAACCTTTTAGTGATACAGAAATAAACAGACCTGCGCCTAACTTTAATGCTGCTGCATTCGTGTAAGCATAAAAACCCTACAATCTAAGTAATCGTCAACATTTTGATTAGGAACTGTAATTTAATTCTGCTTTTTTCAAGAACTCATAATGTTAGTAAAACTCTATTTAACTTATAATATAATTGTGCGTGCATGCTTATAACAGTCTTCCTAGCCAGTAGCTAGAGCGTTCAAGGAGTGATGGACATCTGTGTTAGAGGTTCACACAAACGCTGCAGAACCACTCCCATTTTAGTGCTCAGTCTCTCTCTCTCTCTCTCTCTCTCTCTCACACACACACACCTTTCTTTTACTCACGTCTCCTTAAACAAACATTAAAAACTAGCAAAACCATCCTACTGTACCATCTGCAAATCATAGCTACCTATAAAGCCACATCTGTTGTAGCCTCTCTTCCCTTGCCAAATATCTTTTAATGACAGTCAAACTACCTCAAAGAGAGCATCTGGTCTCTGCAAAAAAGGTTAGGACAAACACTGTTTCCACATACAGGTAAAAATCTGCCTGAAAACAAGCTCGCACACGTGCACAGACACACACGTGCACGTGTAAATACAGCCAGAGACAGATGGGTGCATTCAGGAGTGGATCCACTATGACCGCGCTGATTTCATCCTGTGCTGTTTGTGGTCAAAGTTGCTGGAATCTGTTCGGAGTGTTCTGTCCAAAAGTTGACTGGCTGGTAAATCTTGTTAAGGAGATTAAGACAACGTATAGTCTCAGAGGCTGAACTCTGATTAAATAAACCAGCCGCTGACTCGATTGCACTGTAAACAGTGTGGGATATCCCCTATGTATGTGTGTGTGTGGGAAAGAGTGCCTAGCAGCTTTTCTCTACCTTCCTTTCCGCCATCCCTCTCCCTCTGTCCGTCTATTTCTAAAAAAGAATTACTCTCCATCTCTAATTCTAACTAACTCCCTATCTCTCCCACTTCTTCTTCACTTTCTGCCTCTCTCTCTCTCCACCTCCATTTCCCGCTCGTCGCTCTTCCTCCCACACATGCATATATCGGCATGGAAATGAAGTAGAGTTGCACACTTGGTGCTAATATTCAAATCCAAAGTGTCAGACCCCATGAAGAAAAAGAAGAAAAAAGTCGTGCTTCATGCCAGCTATTGAAACTAGTCAAGCAGAAATTATTGCAGATACTGTTTACTCAGGCTGCTGTTTGTCTTCTAAAACAAATGAGCTCCACATTCGTGGTTTTGAAAGGAATTTCTCAACAACAGCTTGATGGATTACTATAAAATCGGGCACAGAGATTTTTCTTTGCCTGCGTATGAATTAATCTGCCCCAGCATCACGCCCCCCCCCAAAAATGGACCAATGCCAGCTTGGTGATCAAA